TTCATGCCAACTTGAAGTTATCATTCATTGCCTACATCAGTGACTTCAAAATGCATGTTTCAAACCCAGGAATTTCACTTGCTATTAATTGCATGGGGCTGCCAGTCTTTCATGATTTTTTATTGTAATATCAATTTTGCGATTACTCTGAACATGAAGCTGTAACCACAGACCGTCTAGGTGCTGTAATTAAATCCTTGTATAAGCACCGGTAAGGCAGTCTTGAACTATGCATGTGAAGCCAGCTGAGAGGTATATCCAATCCTATAGATTTCTCATTGTTTGGTAACTATTTGCTGCAAATGCAACAAAAATCAATATAATAATATTATCCACACAGCATTCTACAGGTTACTTGTTTATATATTGAGTTTCCTCTGACATGCATCATGTGCAATATTGACTAGACTTTATACACAACCCCAAAAGGTCACACATCCTGGCACTTTGCATGACCCCCCCCCCCCCTGCCAAGGTCACACATCCTGGTCTTTTGCATGACCCCTAGCATTTTTGTGGGTATGGTACTGTTATTTGTATATCTCAATTGATGCTAAGTTTTAAATGTTTTAACACTTTCTGCATGAAAAAAGAAATTCTCATTGATATAGTGAATTCCCTCTTTTCTTAGAAGGTACCAGGATGTGTGACTCTTAGAGATCATTGTATTGGTTGTATTCATGTTTTACTATATTGTTTTTATTGTGTGTGCGTGTCTGTACAATAAATATTGTGTGTCTAATGTCAATTGTTAATAACATCATTATTATCACTGTTAGTGTTACTTGTAATATATTTAGTTTATTAAGGGGTTAGCCATTCAGAAATCTGGGGAGGGCTGCACAGAAAAAAAGGACATTGTCAAAAAAAAAAATGGAGAAAAGAAAGCCAATAAAATACTTACATCATCGTACTTACATCCTGAAATTATAATTGAAGGATACTTCCACCCTCAATTTCTAATGGTTAACCCCTTAAGACTAACAATTATTGATAGAAGAGGGTCTGCTTGCATGCCTCTATTGTATTTTGTTCTCACTGAAATATTTCCTCCAGCTATTTTTAGGAGGAAAACAAATATATTATGTGGACCATGATTTATCATTTCTAAATATGCAGAGTAGAAAAATAGAGGGCATAAATGCCAAAAGTTGTTTTTTGTGTTGTATACTGCATGCTGTGATTTGTTACATAACAAAAGGTTCTGTTAGAGAAAATATAGTATGGCTGATTATACCTTGGATTTGGAGTCTACTAGTAAGTGTATTACATATTTACTGGGTTTTAATTTCACTGATGAATGATATGCGCTAAATTAAGTTCATGTGAGCATAAAATTAGAATTGTTTAATGGAATGAGAATTGAAATCCCACTGAATACACCAGGTTTCATAAAGGCATGAATTTGTTTTATATGAAATATTTATAAAAGTTATATTAGTGATCAAAAATGAATACTGCCTGTATAAAAACTCCATTCAGTTAACCTCTCCTTTGACACTGGATATAATGTCTACACTTTGTTGTTGACACTCAGCAGCATTCCTTGTAAAAATAATGAGGAATTATGCATAGATACTCTTTATATGGGCAATTGTAATACAGGTTCTCAAACAAAAAAATGGTGTCATCATCAACTTAGTGTGGATGCTGTAAATAAAATAGTCTAAAATATTGATAATATATAATATAGTAATTATAAATATTATAACCATTTATTAGAGTTAGTTACTGAATATTATGTTGGGTCCAATGCCCAGGTTGCTTTGTTACCTGGATCTCAATTTCTTCAAATAGGAAATACTTAATACTGTGAAGGGGGGGGGGGATGCTTTAAAATTGGGAAGCTGATAAATCACCAATAGTTCTATGCACTGAAAATCAATGAAATAGAAATAAATTCTACAATTCATACAAATTCCAGAGTTATATGTATTTCACATAAGAGTCCTACGAGTACAAACGTGTTTATGGTGCTACACCAATGACTACCACCGTGTGTTATCAGGCGAGTTAACAGGTAGTACACCAAACATAATTTTTGCATCCCTGACCTCAAGAACACTTAACTACATCAATATATCCAGCGAGCCAACCTCTGTTGATGTTGTAGAAGGAATGACATACCAGTTTTGAGTACTTCTGTTCTGCCTCTGCTCAGCACTGCTGGTGTTAACAAGGATGTCCAAGGTGTTGGTAACTCCACATACTGGACATCTTGGTATACTCGTACATAGTCAACTGGTTTCTCTACCATCAACTAAGGGACACTAGATGAACTAGTCTCTAGACGCAGTTTCACTGGCAATGCGGAGGGGATTCACAGATGCCAGTGAATTGTAACACACTTTTTCTGATGGACAACAATCATCTTTGCATACTCAAGTTTGGATGCACTTGGTCATGTGACCTATTCTGGCAGTTGGTGTACTTTTGTAACTCCATATGCTATGTGTAAACTGACAACGCATGTATTCATATAGAGTATAATTGCTACAAATAACTGTGGCATGTTTTGTATTTAACATATGTTCAGCATTGTGCACTGCCAATTTATCTGATTGCTGAATCTTTCAATTTATTGGATTTTCATGGTGCAAGTTCGAAATGCTCACTCGCAAAATGTGGGTAATATAAATCCCCAGTTTTGGTCAGAATCTTGTAAATTGCATGCAGGCTGGTGTCCTTGTGCAAATTACTTGACTCTGACCAAAACAGTGGATCTGTAAACCCACACATTCTCATGGTGTTTCTAACACATGTTACTGTATTTGTTTTATTAGTATACAAGTATATTTCCAATGGAGGTACATGAATTGTTATTGATTGAATTGCAAATGAAATTACCCATAAAATTTTCCATATTAGAAGATTATCTCAGGTTGAGCTACCAGTACATATATTTTTTCTATTAAAAACATATTTCTGATAGAGATGAAAAATCCTTGATGGGATTTATATTTACATTATTAACATCGCTTTTGTAAATGCATGCGCTTCTAATAGAGCAAATTTAATGTGTTAAATTAATTTAATTTCCTTCATGTTATTTAACATCAATAGTGCCATATATCCATTTTTTGTATTAAGTCTGAATGGCTCTACACACAATAGAATTGTTCATTTTTTCAAGCACATAGATTATAGCCATTATTATTGCCATAAGCATTGTTTTGAGTGATTCCATACCTTTCATGAAATCAATCCAAAGAGTGAATTCTAAGTGGGTAGTTAGTACAGGTATTCACTATTTCATTGTTTTCAACCAGACTGGTTGCACATATGAAGCTTGCTGAATTTGATATATTAAACTTTTGCTTACTGATTATGTTCAAGTTGTATTTTGTGTGGGAATGCATGTAATAGGACTCTCAATATAGAATCTATGCAGCATTACATTCATTCAGTGCCTGGATGTGATGCTAGTAATATCGCATTACCCATTTAGATTTATGGGAACCACACACTGTGGAAATCGGCATGCTGGGAATTTCCCATAACCCTGTTTATGTTGACAGGTTTTCAATCTGATGCATGGTTAACAGCTATTACTAGCTGTTATAACTATATTACTAGCATTATATCTAGGCACAAGTGTAGTGAGGTAGTGGGAGTGGAATACTGCTAGGCTACTGTACGAGATATTACTAGCATTATATCTAGGCACAAGTGTAGTGTGAGAGTGGAGTACTGCTAGGCTACTGTACAAGATATTAATAGCATCATATCTAGGCACAAGTGTAGTGAGGTAGTGAGAGTGGAATACTGCTAGGCTACTGTACGAGATATTACTAGCATATCTAGGCACAAGTGTAGTGAGGTAGTGAGAGTGGAATACTGCTAGGCTACTGTACAAGATATTAATAGCATCATATCTAGGCACAAGTGTAGTGAGGTAGTGAAATACTGCTAGGCTACTGTACAAGATATTAATAGCATCATATCTAGGCACAAGTGTAGTGAGGTAGTGAAATACTGCTAGGCTACTGTACAAGATATTACTAGCATATCTAGGCACAAGTGTAGTGAGGTAGTGGAATACTGCTAGGCTACTGTACAAGATATTACCCGGTACTAGCATTATATCTAGGCACAAGTGTAGTGGGAGTGAGAGTGGAATACTGCTAGGCTACTGTACAAGATATTACTAGCATCATATCTAGGCACAAGTGTAGTGAGGTAGTGGAATACTGCTAGGCTACTGTACAAGATATTACCCGGTACTAGCATTATATCTAGGCACAAGTGTAGTGGGAGTGGAATACTGCTAGGCTACTGTACGAGATATTACTAGCATCATCCTAGGCACAAGAATGAAATCAAAGACCCAAGCATCAATTACCTTTTACACAGCATGATTATTTGACCCCTACCCTGGGTAGGATGTGTGCCACAGACTCAAATAGGGGAAGTCCAATTCCACTAATTAGTTCATTCACTAATGAATGCGACTTTGCGGGAACCTTGGTTATTTGATGAGGGAGGTGCCCGCACAGTCATGTACATGTAGTCCCAAATATGGAAATGTCTTTTGTGGAAAAAATGTCCTCTTGCACTATTCCTTGCAGTTCGCACATGGAAAAAAAAAAGTCTGGAGAGACAACAGTGACATTTTCTCAAACAATGGGGAAATCGACTGGCTCTAGTTAAAATTGTTTCTTAAAAGTCTGGAGAGACAACAGTGACATTTTCTCAAACAATGGGGAAATCGACTGGCTCTAGTTAAAATTGTTAGACAAGATTGTTTCTTAAGTTTTATTTCTGCTTTACACAGTACAATAATCTTTTGAAAAATATTACTTAAAAAAAAGAAGAAATGATATTCTTTAGTTTATATTATTCCTTGTCTTCATTGTGTTGTCCAGTATATGAGTCCATAGTCTATGACCGTGTGTATTTTCCCCAGATGTGTAGCATAAATACCGATGCAATGAATAACAAACTCATTACTAATACGGGAACTGGGCCACTGAAAATAAAATGAAGATAAATATTAAAATCTAGTTTATGGTGAATTGTTATACAAGGTTCAAATCAAATTGACAGGTTTTGTAACACTCTCCATGTGTGAAGCACATATTACACATCTTATGAAGTAGATTGATTGGCTTCTGATAATGGCGATAGACTTGCTTTAGAAAATGAAGGTACAGTGTGAAGAATATGGATGGTAAATTTAAAACAAAACTTGCTGAAAATGTCAATTAACAAGAATTATTTTTTCCTTTCATGCCTTGCTGAGATCATCACAGTGATCTGTTTCTTGATTGTTTATGTTAGACCCAAAACATGGGCAATTGTGGAATATTGAAGTTAGTTTACAGTTGCTTCACATTGCTATTCTCTAAAACAGACCGGAAACGAGACTAAAACAAAAGATTTTTCAAGTTAGCGTGGGGGGAAATAACGTTGCTAAGTATTATCGTCAGGGAAATCTATTGTTTAAGCTAGTCTGTGATTGGTTGCTGGCAATGTTTGGGGGATTTTGACCAGTTTATGACGTAGGCTTGAATTAGAGAATGCAATATACTGTAAAACATGCCTTTTTAGCTAGCATGTTATTTTAGCTGTTTTAGCTAATCTGTAATTTAGCTAATTCAAGATGTAGCTAATTTAACATAAAGTATATCCTCACGGGGAGATAGTGGACACTTTAGCTAAATTAAGACTGTTAATTCATGCCAAGAGTATTTTTCATAGAGAGTAGGATTTATATACAGCAAATTTGTTGGTAACACATAAGGGGTAAATAATTGTTAGAAGAGGCTATCTATTTAGCTTAATTGCATGAAATCTCTGTTGCAAAAATAAAATAATTCGATTTTGAAATAGTTCAATCTCGAATTGCAAATCTGAAAGAAAAGTGTTGAGACGTCCTTACTTCATCAAAATTGACCATCATCAAATGTCTATAGCACACTATTAAGTGTGGAAATACGCAAAAAATTGTTTCGTGTTTGTTGAATCCTGCACATTGTTCTGATGGTAGTACAACACTATTCAATTTAACACAAAACACAGAAACTCACAGTGAAATTGTTTATTTACATGAATGATAGACTTACATTTTAACACCGGGTGAATCCTCTGTATAGAATCTCCACATACCACCACTGGAACCTCCGCCACCAGAAGCAGCAACTCGTGTCCTACCGGCAGCAGTACCAGCTGATTTCCTGAATTAATAAGATACACAATGATTTGTAAAAAAAAATTATACTATATTCTCAGAACTTGAAGATCAGAGTATGCTCTCTTAAATTTTTGAATGCAACAAAGACTCTTGTCTTTTCCATCTTTTAAAGTTATATGCAAATATTACAGAGAACTACTAGTATAGACTTCGCTTTCTTTGGCTGTATATTGGACTCAGTGTTCTCCCCACATAGAACAAAGCATGGCGGCACCGCCATGCTTGGCGACCCGGCCGCCACGCTTGGGCTCGGACCGCCATGCTTACAACTTCACCGCCATGCTAATAGGATGCATTGTTTACATCCATTTGACCCGCTCACACGTAGCACTGCATAAATTATCACCATCTACGCCACGGCGGTTTGAACTTGCCGGGACAAATTAAACAGTTCCATTGTTAAACACGTGTGAAGTACAGACGCTGTCAATGGGGAACAAATTGTCACTCAAGTTGCAAACACCGAGATGGTATATGGCAAAACATGTAAAGGAAAAAAAGGTGATGCCGCCCGGCTAAAACGTACAATCACCGCTAGCACAGCACAGAAACGGAAGCGTGTAGAAACACGGAAACGGTGTGAGGCTGGTTTTGATGAGTCGTGGAAAAGGACATTTCCCTGGTTAAGGTCAATTGTTCAGGTAAGATTTCGTAATTTTAGAAATAAAATGCCAGTGTGTGTATGTTTTGCCGAT